TAGCAACCAACAATAACTTAACTGATAAAAATATTTTTACTCCCACAATTGTATCATCATTTTGAATAGGCATTAGCGATTTAACACTGTTAGCATGTGCCCACCTACTTGGTGTAAGCCAGTGCTAACAGAAAGTTGCAATAGGCTAGGATTAACTTACTTATATAAAGATCTTTAATGTAATGGCTATAAACTCTCGTTTAATAAAAGTCTCGCATTTAATATCTATTTGCGATTTTAAAAATAAAAAAAAAAAAACAACTGGTAAATAGTAAGCAAAGACAAGACATTTCAATTATTTGATATTTGCTTCTGCTTTTTTGAGTTAATAATATATTATCGTTATGGGATTCCAACCAGAAATGTAAATCTCATTATTGCAATGATGTTATTTATATATTTAAATATAAAGATGTTATATACTGAATTTGAAGAATAATGTATTAAACTTGGAGTAAAACTGATGGTATATTGATAAGGTATATTTATAACTATTGAAATAAATAATTAATTGTATTTGATAATAGTAAAATATCAATATTCATAATCTTTTATTCTTAGAAACTTAAATCGGTAATACATAATTATATAATTAATTAGTAATAATTTATTAATAGATTTTATAATATTTGTGAATAGATTGATAAATTAATAAAATTAAATTTAAACTCTTTAAAGATATTATATAATATCATTTTATTGTATTAGTGCAATGTACCTTTTTGTTTGAATTTTGTGAGTAATTGTTATAATTGAGATATACATGTTTGATAATCATATATAGATAAGCTTGATTGATATGTGATTGGTAATACTCTGTTTATATGAACCAATCAGGTGTATTGGTAAAATTATAAGATGTTTTTATTGGTTTTGAGCAAATAAATTTTGGATAGAAACAATTTATAAGAAATTTGTTATTAAAGCTGAGAGACTCGATCCCTGAGAAATAATACGTGTGAAACTTTTCATAAATACTTTTTCATAAATATTTTGCAGTTTGTTTATAAGTCATTTAAATGAAAACAATTTCAGAATCATAGTTAGGGTTGAGGGTTTCGATCTCTGAGAACAATATATGTGAAACTTTTTATAAATATTTTGTGGTTTATTTATGAGTCATTTGAATGAAAACAATTTCGAGATCATAATTAGGGTTGAAGAACTCAATCTGTAAAATGAGTACAAGAGTTATTTTGAGATAAGGGCTGAGAGACTTGATCTTTTGGATGCAAGTAGATGTTATGAGATAGTTACATATGTTTCATTTAAGATGAAGGCTGAGAAACTCGATTTTCAAATACAAATAGGTGTTATAAAATTTTGTCTCATCTTTTATTGTAAATAATTTGTATGGTCAATCTTATATTGTGTGATTTGATGTGATTCGAGATATGGTCACTTGAGAATTTTTATATATTTTGTATTTCAGAATAGATGATTAAAAATAAACAAAAATAGATAAGTGTTTTATTTAAAAATGTTATTTCTGTTCCCAGATTTTGAAACTAAACATTTTTATTTTGATAAAAACTTTTTTGGACTTGTAATATTAAAATAATTTTAATTATGACATCACTTATAAAAAAACTTTTGATTCTCGAATGTGCAATTTTATTATTATTATTATATAGAATAATAGCACAATTCATACTACTTTTTTTGTAGTCTCTTGATATTACATAAAGAAATTAAATAATTTTGATCTTGTAACTATTCACTTTTGTACTGTAAGTATTTTATATGTTTTAATATACTTAATATATTTAAAAAAATACTTACTAACATGATTATATAAATAATAGGATGTGAGAGCTGGTATGTAGTAAGTAAAATAAAGATTTTTAATTATTTGATATACTCATTCTCAATTTTATTATCAATTACCCTTGAGATGATAACATATTATAAATCAAATAGTTACAAGATTCAGACTAGTCGAATATGCTTTTGGATTATGATAATGACATTTGTATATTTTAATATAATGGATTTACATATCAAATTTCAAGAATGGTGTATTGAACTTGAAAGGAATCTGATATATTATATTCATTGATTAAAGATAAGTGCGCATCGATAATGCTATTTTGATAAGGTACATCTGTTGAATCCCTTTCACCCCTCATATGACTGTTGAGATGGAAGTTAAAATTGTCTCTAATAATGGTAAGGTGTTGACACTCACAATCTTTATTCTTAGAAGATTTAAAAATTAATGATTATGTTAAAGAAATATGATTATCTATTTTTACTAATTAAGAAATAATATCAAGTACATGTCATCCTTTTAACAATAAGCATGAATAGAATGAATCAGGGATTAGGAATAAATATTTATATAATCTAACAGAGAGATTAGGAATAAATACTTACATAATTTAACAGAGTACCAATTGATATTTCTCTTTTCTTTTTGATAGTATCTATTGGATCAATTTTAAGCCAATTTTTTTATTTGTTGATAAGTTTTTTAGCATATAGATCAATAGTATAATTTGTTAGGTTTTTATTATATAGATCAATTATATATAAATAGATAGAATGATAGATTAATAAAGTTAAATCCATTCAAATTTTTTTAAATTAATATAATATATAGTGATCTTCATATTATTTTAAAATAAATTAAAAATTCCTATAAATTTAAATTTAATTATTTTATTTTGAAATTTCCCAATTAAAATATTAGTATTATTTTCTTTATTATAAAATATTTTTAATAATTTATTCATTCTCTATTTTTTCTATAATTTCTTTACACCTATTGTTTATTGAAAGTACTAGATTTTTTGTTTTCTTCAGATATTCTTTTCCACTCTTCTATTATAAATTTTCTAGATCTATTAAATTCTTTGGTTTCCTTAATTCCACATTTCTTTTAATTATGTTTCAAATATTTTCTATTGGATTTTAATCTGGACTATTTGATGGCTATTCTATATATCCAGTAATTTTTTCTTGTATGAATTCCTTGGTTAACTTGCTCGTATGTTTGGAATCATTATCTTGTTGAAATCTTTCTTTCTTTCCTTTAATCTGTTTGATTTCTTTTAAGTATTCTTTTAGAATGTTAACATATAATATTGCATCCATTTTTTCAGTAAAGCAATAAAGCTTTGTTCTTCCTTTTATAGAAATCTCTCTCCATATATGGATCTTTTTTCTTTCTTTTGGTATAGGATTAATTGGTCTTCTTCCTTTATACCATCTTGTAAACTGTATTTTGAAGTATTTGAAATGAAGTTTCATCTGTAAATACTACCTGTAACCAGTTATCTTCAAGATATTTTTGGACCCATTCCATTTTCATTTGTTTGTGTCTCTCTATTAATATTGGAGTTGCTAATAGGAGAGAGTTTTTATACCCCATTCTATAAAGGCGTCTTCTTATGGTGCTCAGGAATACTTGTATTTCTTGTTCTTGTAATTTGATTGTCAGACTTTTAGTTGTTTCATATGTGTTCCTCTTTAAACTTTGTTCAATAATTCTTGATCCTTTCTTATCGATTTTTCTCAGTCTTCCTGGTTCTTTCTTTTATTGATTACTTTCATTTTTTTCTATTTTTTGTAAGTTATAGTATATGGTGGATAACTTAATTTCTATTCTTTTTTGAATTTCTTTAGCTGTTTTTATGCCTATATCCCAAAAATATTGGATTATAGTTTTTTGTTGTTTTTTAAGTTCTTTGATTATTTTAAGAGTTGTTGTATTATTTTGTCTATCTATTTTTTTCTTTTGATTATCAATTTTCCATTTTTATAATTGATCTACTTAATATATGTTGATTTAACTTCTCTTTCTACATCTTATAAATATTGTATTAATTTTTCTTCTCTTTCTATTATTTATATTCTTTGTTTTACTTCATGTTTTTGTAAAATCATTTCTATCAACTTTAATAAAGTTAGGTTCAAATCTGTTTTACAATATTCAGCTTTGGTTTTAACATAAAAGTCTTGTTTTTTTTTTTTTTTTTTTTTTTTTTTTTAAGTTGTAAACCGGCATTAGATGCGTGACATTTTTATTAATATAATTATTAACTTGAGTCAGTACATCAAATGTCACACTCCACCTATTTATGGGGGTTAACATTACATCATCTAATCTATTTCTAGCTTAGTGTGCTTACCAATAGACAACTCCGACATATCCAGCTATACGAAATTTTAAACATCGAGTAGATGATTCACACGCCAGGTGGGACTTACATAGGGGATGGAAATATTACCACTAGTTTTAAACCACCTGACCTACTAGGTCCTGTCTCGATTGCATCCGTCATGGGTGAACGCATTTATGATATGTTATTATAGAGATTAATCCCAGTCATATCAGTCACCTGTTATCACTGATCCTCGAGATGTGCCACTAGCATAGCGCAGCACTACCGTTTTCACCACCTGTGGAACTGGCGTCCTTGCTTGGATTCCGATTTAATCCTGTTGGCCCTCACTAAACGCACTTGGCTTAACGATTTTTGCTTAGATTCTCACCACCTGTGGCTGATACCTTGCCCTTCAGTCATATGATTAAGTTCCATGGAACACCACAATTGGGATAGACCAACAAGCTCCATATTGGGATAGATCGGCTTAGGATTAACCTCTTTTTTTTTTCGAACCGTGTGACGAAGTCTGCCGTCTTCAGTTGGGGTAGAGTTTGTGGGCTTTTACCGGAGTTAGACCAGAAGTCTTTCCTCATGCAACCTTCCATGCTTCGACCTGTTTTCAGCTCGCGATCGTCGAGAAGACCAGAGGTCCCAACAGATGATACGTTTTTTTATATATGTTTTCATATTTGTTTTATAAAACATTAAAATTCATAAGGAATGTATAACAAGTTTTTATATCTATAATAGATTGATCTTATATTATCAGATATGGTTTGGTCTAACAGATCAAGAGTGGTATTATTCAAAATGCCAAATATGTATCTTTATTGAACTGTAATTCTCTTTTTCTAGTATATATAGTAAGATTTATGTGATAGTAATAAAAAATTTAGTTTTTTACTTTGTTCAATCTTTTTTTAAAAGAAATTCATTATAACAAAATTCTTTACATCTTTTCAAAATTTCTTTATAGAAAAAATCATTACACTGGTATACAATTAGATTTATTTTATAAAAGAATTAACATCTGCTCACAGTACTTTTCTCTTTGTAATTATCATAAGATAGATATGAAAATAATTTATTGAGATTTTTATTTATATTATTTAATTGAATTTATTTAAATTGTATAGAAACCCTTTGACTTATTATGAGAAATTTGTAATATTAATCTTTGTAAAATTATATGGATAATAGAAACAGATTTTGATTATACTTGTGATTTAATCAATATTGAATAAATTTTATAAGAAAATTAACATCTGTTTACAGTATTTTCCCCTCTATAATAATCATAAGATAGATATTTCTTCTTAAATATAAAAATAATTTCTTAAGATTTTACTAGATTATATAATTGGATTCGTTCAAATTGCATAAGAACCCTATAACTTATTGTAAGAAATTTATACTATTAATCTTTGTAAAATTATACAGATAATAGAAATCAATTATAATTGTCAAGTGGCTCCAAGTAGCTATAATTACCTATTCAGCATTGGATAGAAGAAAGTTAGATAAATCTGAAATTAATTTGAAGATGTATTTAGTAAAGTTGAATCTGCTTTGAATATATAAGTCCGCTATGATAGTAGGTGCATTTATAGTAGTTGATGTTGATGTAGAATTGTTATTGGGTATTTTGGTCTTGGCTAGGTTTTTGGTTATTTGTTTTGTTGGGTTGCTATAGTGATTGTTGTTCCATTTAATGCTGGTGAGAGGAGAGGTGTTTGCTGTAATGCAGCAAGATATCCAAATTGATTTGTATAAATGAGCTAAGGTTTCGGTTGAAGCTTCGATCCAGTTGGAGAAATTAGTTGTGGAGAAGATATTGTCTGTAATACCACAAGTCAGCTCTATTAATTGCCAGGCATGTAAGATAGGTTTGTGATTGCCATCAGGGTGGAAAATGTTATTGATAATAGTAATAAGTTGGTTAATATCTTCCAATGCTGATGAATATTTGAAGACATGTTGGATATCCTCAGTGTGTAAGCTACACCGGGGACAATATAGATCAGGATATTTTTCTGAATATAATCTGTGAAGGTTTTCTCTAGTGGGGAGAGTTCTTAAGAGCAATTTAATTCTGAAAACAATAAGATTGCTGTATTTGTTAACTCTAGAGTTTTTGATTCTTTTGTTTGATTTGTTAATAATTTGGAGGCCTTGAGATTTGTGAATATGTCCGAATGTTCTGAGAACTGAAGAACTTTCATAAATTATGTAGATTTTGGTGATGCTCAGAATTTTTTTGTATCATCTGACACTGCTGCCTAGTTATAGGTTATTGATTAGTGGGCTTTTTGAAAAGTGGAATGGTGAGTTGAACCATTGGAGAGTGTCATCGAATCTTGGTTTGGATTTAGGATTGGTATATCTGTATTTGATTGATTTGTCTCAAATTAATTTGTTAATTTTTAGCAATATTGAAGCAAAGTTGATCTTTGTCATTCTTCTTGAATAATCAAATACTTCTTGAAGAATTTTTCTATTACTTCTTATTTCAATGGTACAGCTTGATGGGTACCAATGTAAGATGTCTATTATTGTATGGAGAAAGTCTTCTAGTGGATATCCTGGACTGGTTGGTATTATTTTGGTACTGTTCACAAAGATCTTGTTCTGATAAAGTTGAAAATGGTACTGTTGACAAAAGCCAATTCTTTGAAGAGTTGATATGGGAGGGGAGATGGAAAAGTTGTCAATGAATTGGAGAATGTTCTCTCCTTGCTGTGGTGTGATAGACAGTTCGCTGATTATGTTGCATAGTCAATGTTTGCTTGTGCTATTAGGATTTGAGACTATCCACAGTGAGGATGCTGTGGGACTTGTGAATAACAGTATACAGAAGCCGGCCAAGTGTGACCCTATTGGACAGCCATTACATCTGGATAGAGTATTGTTTGGATCAACAGAGTAGTATCTTTCTTTGAGGTTTGTCCTTTCATTTATACTTTGACTTATTTTGTATATTTTGATGATACAATTTGAATTATGCGAGTACCAAAACAATGG